CTTAAACATGTCAAACAAAAATACTCTTTATGATGAATTTTTTGCTGAATTGTCGTTTATGTGCCTCTCCTTTTACTCTTGTTCTGTTTGTACACTATTTATCGCCAGTAAGTATAAAATGCTGTTATGCCTTATTTGACACTGTCGTTTTTTTCATAAAGCATATGTTAGCAATTTTAGAATGGATGGATATTTTCCCCCCTGTTTCTTTGTTTTTTTTGATTTATATGTTTTCTTTATTCCATATATTCCATTGTTTTACAATGATTATTATTTTTAAAAATGAAAACCTTTCAATAAAAAATAATTGACAAAAAAAAAATCATTTGGAAAGCACGCACACACATAATGCTCCTCTGTGATTTTATGGCGTAATACATTGATTTCTTTATAAAATTTTAGTAGAAAATTTTAATGTTGGTTTTTCATGACAGCTTTTCCTCTTTTGAGGCTGTACATTGATGTAGAGAATAAGCACTTGGTGACAGGCTGCACAGATGGGCAGGTAAGACATGTTTTAATAAATAGTTTTAATATTTGCATTTTTTATTTGTTACTATTATTTATTGAATTTAAGTATTTTTTTTCCTTTCATATATAGTGGACAGATATTCTTCATAAATATATTGCATATCAATTCCTGGTTAATTCCTGTTAAATTCATAGGCGTTTATGTAAGTGTACCAGTATCAATATTTTCTTGCAAAATGATCACGAACAGAAATTCAGGTGGTGCAATAAAATTTGGAAAAAAAGTATAATTTCTCTTCCTAGCTTTACTTTCTTTCTAACATACATATTGTTTGTGAATGTATATTTTAACATAGGGCTCGGTTTAATTTTATTGGCTAAAAACAGACAATAACTATCAACTTTAAAAAAAAAAAATCTAATTCTGGCTGGATTTAATGCCAGATAAAATTCACGCACCAGAACCAGGTATATGGGTCTGCTGCTTGAAATAAAACCACCAATAAATATCCATTGAAAGCACATTTATCAGACATTTATTAGACTTTTTTAATTTTACTGTTAGTAAAAAAAAAAAAGAGCTAAAGATCAATATGATCTGTCTTTTAGTATTAGGGATTATATACTTGGAAAGGGCTTCCTACTGCAACCAAAAAACTATCAGCTGAATGGCTATTGATACCTTATTGCTAATAATATACGGGGGGGGGCCTGTGCCAGATACCCTCATGCTCCCAATTAAGGGCATTGGTTAAGTGCTCATAAATAAAGAATAGGGGGTGGGGTGGTCAGTGATCTTGGAGGTGGACGCTCGTGGCCAACAGATAAGAGATATTAAATTAAAAAAACATGGAGGGGATCGCCATGAGGTGCCAGTGGGAGCTATTTTTAAAATCTAATAAACTGAATTTCTTTTCATCAGTGCTAAATTTCCGCTTGCTAAAGGCTATTGGTGAGTGGAAATTTTGAGCCCTAGTATAGGTGTCGGTTTCAGTATTTGTACTCATATTTATTGGCTTCTGATAAGCCTTTAACTGTGATAAGTTTAAGCAGCACTGTCACCCCCCCTAACATTTTATAAAATCTTTCCAAAATTCTAATTTTGACTGTTTAGGAATTAAACTGAAATTCCAACCCAGTCAAGAAATATATTGATTCAAGGTACTTTGTCAAACTTTGTCTCAGTATTTTTTCTCCACCTGACACTTCATGACACTGGGCGCAGCTACTGCTTTCAAAAAGTGTCTCCGATGCAAGGAATTGGCTCTCTCTCTTATGGACCTCAATGCTATACTTACGTGCATGCATGAGAGTTCAGCAGTGACATCAGTTCCTGGCTGAAGCGGAAGAAGATAGTGACACACAAAAGGGACAGGTTTGACTAAATTGAACTCACCTTTTCCTGACCCCATGGCTACTGGACCGCCAGCTGCAATGGCACAGTTGGGGGTCTTTTTAAATTCTGCAAAGTCCCCAGACCGTGCCCATCCTGCTTTAATTGATTTGAGCTGATAAATGACTTGTGGCCGATAAACTGTCAATAAACATGACCGGCTCTAATTATTTCAAGGCTGTAGTTATTCATTTTAAAATGTTTGTGGAGTTAGAGATTTAAATTCATTAAACATGAGATATGTATTGGCAGTAGTTTACAAAATTTTTAAATAATTAAATAATCTACAAAATTACGGTACATCTGATTTGTATTGTCAGATGTGGAGTATACATAATGATAAATGTATATACAACTGACACCCTAGTACGGTTAGGTGAGGGAGGTTTTGGGCAGGATCCTCTTTGCAAAAGTAGTTGTATAGGAGGAATCCTCACCAGGCAATTTAACGGGTTTTAAAAGACTTGTATACCATTTTAAAAATCTGATTTAGCATCCTTGCCAGGCAAAGCACCTGACAAAACCTGACTAGTCAGTTGCTGCACGACTTGCCACTTGACCAAACCTGACTAGTCAATGCCTCCTTTCATCTTCTTAATGATCTAGGAAGTCTTTGAGTAGAATTTCATCTATAAGCATATGCACAATATCTCAACATAGCAGTAACAGAACATTTCAGTTTTGCAGCAGCTCCAATCCATTCCTATGAAATAAACCACTGATTTATTTTGGATAATTATGGACTATAATGAGTTCTTACATTCATGTTTAGCAATCCTATACAAGTGCAGGATGTGTTCATATTTGTATTTCTTTTTTTGTGCTAGAAAGACTGTTACTTAATTACATGATTTTGCTATTTCATGACAAAAAGTCATGATTTTATGAAAGACACGGAGGCGAGTATTGCTTAACCCTTTCTTTACTGTCCACCAATAGCAGCAAAGAATACAACAGTAAGAAAAAATGGTAACTATAGTGATAGGCCGCACCCACACCAAGTCCCAGTATAATAGTCAGCACCTTCCCACACATTTCCTCTTTCTTTGGAGATGCGACACAATAACCACAAAACAGGAACAATGAAACAGTCCAAACCAAATAGAACTGGCGACCCGAAATTCAGCCGGACTCCGATCAGGAACCTTAACGAAACTGGGACTGATCCATCAATAAACAGGATTCCAACAGTGAGGGGCCCATCACAGCACTGTCCATAAACTTCCTGGCCACGTGGTGAAGCCAAGAGAGAAGTGATGAAGACCCTTGATCAACATCGAATCAACCTGTGAAAACACAAAAGACCAGGAGTCGAACGGTTAAATCGGTACTTAAACCAAAGTGTGCATGACAAGACATAATTTTATAACTAGACAGAAGCAACACACTGTGCATAATTCAAAATAGGCATATCGGATAATCATGTAACATGAACATGTTAATAAACGGCTTAAACTATACAAAACAGAGAGCGCATAATGAATACCTACCAACCCTGGAAAACCTTTAGGAGAGAATAAACAGCCGGGTGGGGTAAATCAGAGAAATAACATAGAAGGGTGGGACAATACTCGCCTCAGTGTCTTTCATAAAATCATGACTTTTCATCATGAAATAGCAAAATCATGTAATTTTTATGTCAAGACACGGTGGCTCATATTACAAGTTTAAAGCTGATCAATAACCAGAGAAAAAACGTGAGGCAGAGGTCGAAAGTAAAACTCACGAAAAGTGGATTCGCGGGACCAGTTGGCCAGCCTCATCAGGTCTTCCAGACGTGCACCTGAATTCACCATGGACGTGGCTGATGCCCCTCGGGCTGAGTGGGCACCGAAGATGGACGTATCCACGCCGGCCAGAGACATCACCCATTTCACCCAGCAAGCCAATGTAGAACTGGACACAGGGGAAAAGGGGCGACAAAGCGAGAGAAAGAGCTGGGAAGACGACGTTGCACGATGTGCACTTGTTCGAAGTTCATATTCCCGTAAGCAGGCCACTGGACATAGGGCCGGAGTACCAGGAAAGCTCGGATAAGAAACTGACCGAATAGCGGTCTTGATACGTCTGGAGATGTTAAACGTCACCCCGTCCGGAGTGAAAGACCTAGCATCATAGTCCAGGGCACGAACATCCGATACCCGTTTGCATGAAATGAGATAGAACAGGGAGACCAACATTAGGCGGCCAGAAGGAGAACAGCGACAAAACGCAGGAAACGTCCCATGTAGTAGAGTAACGAGGTCTAGGGGGGCGCGACAGGCGTGAGCCCCTAAGTAAGCGGCACACTAACGGATGTAGGCCTGCTGGGCAGCCGTCAAATCCTTGGTGAGCCGAGGAGATGGCCGATCTGTACAAATTAATCGTGCGCTATGCCGAGGTGCTGAAGCAGGATCCAAGTTCCGAGCCAGGCACCAGCCAGTCCAAGCTCTCCAAGCGGTCCCATATGATCGTCTAGTCCCAGGAGCCCATGCGTCAGCCAGGAGGCGTCGAGTTGCGTCCGAAACCTCTTGGATTTCCCAGGGACTCCAGAAATCCTCCACGCGAGCAACAGTAATGACCTGTCCGCTAGGAGGGGATGCTGGAGGCCCAATGGGTCAAGGAGGAGGTTCGGTAGAGACGGCAGCAGTCTGGGTACGCCAGTTCCAGGAGTTGTGAGAACCAGGATTGGGTGCCCCAGAATGGGGTTAGTAGGATCAGGTCAGCCATTTGGCGGCGAAGTTGGAGCAGGACCTGAAGGATCAAGGCAAACGGGGAAAAGGCGTAGAGGAGTGACCCGGTCCAGTCTTGTAGGAAGGCGTCCACTGCCTCCACCGTTGGATCCGGGCACCAGCTGTAGAACCAGGGCAATTGGGTTTCGAGCAAGGACACGAAGAGGTCGATGGCAAAAGAACCCTATATAGATGATATAGCGAAGAATACTCCCACATCCAATTTCCAATCGCTTTTGTCCAGATGACAGCGTGAACTCCAGTCCGTGTGAGTGTTGTGGAGCCCAGGAAGGTATTCTTCCTGGACCACCATGTTCCTGTCCAAGCAATAGGCCCAGAAGTCCTTTGCCAAGCGGGCCAGGATTGCCGATTGAGTGCCACCCATGTGGTTGACATAGCAGACCGCTAAGACGTTGTCCAGGCACATGCATGCGCTGGCAGTCCTGTTTGCAAAACTCCGGATCGCGAACAATCCTGTGCCGTGATGAGGATGTCATCTAAGTAGACCATTAGCCAGACTCCCCGACTGCACGGCCAAGCCATGGTGGGGCGCATCAGTTTCGTGAAGCACCAAGGGGCTGATGACAGTCCGAAGGGGAGGCACGTGAAGCACCAGGTGTCTCCATTCTAGAGGAAACTTAACAGGTCCCTGGATGACTCGGCCACTGGGACGGTCAGGTAGGCATCCTTCAAATCCAACTTTGCCATCCAGTCTCCCCGAAGGAGTAAGTCTCGCAGGAGGTGGATGCCCTCCATTTTTAAGTGACAATAGCGCACCAGGGTGTTTATGGCACGGAGGTTGATAACTGGGCGCATTTGTCCGCTTTTCTTTTCTACCAGGAAAATGTTGCTTATCACCCCTGTGGAGGACACCGGGGCTAGCTCTTTCGCCCCTTTTGCGTGGAGGGCCGTTAGTTCCGCCTCTATCAAGGCGCGGTCGGTTGTTGAAAGCAAAATAGGGCGAAGTAGGGGAACGTGACAAGGAATGTCGACCATTTCGATGTGAAACCCCCGAACTGTGGTCAGAACCCAGACATCTGAGGTGATGGCTGACCAGGTGTGGAAAAAATGACAGAGTCTGCTCCCTACACACATATTGGAAGAAACATGAGGTAGATGTAAGCTTACCGTAAGGGCGTCTGGAACTAGGGTTCCCTCTGGAACGCCATGGTCTTCCGAAAGAGGGTAAGAAAGGAGACTGGTAGGGTGTTCTCTGAGTGTAGGAGCCTCGTCCCGATCCACGGGCATGGTAATTGGAATGGCCGGACAGACGACCCCTGAATCTGCTGGCCCTGGTAGAGACCCGCCCCTGAAACACCCTCTTCATGGAAGATTGGGCCTTATCTAGGGCTGTAAAGGCACCCACAAAGCGTCCCTGGTCCTTAATAAAGGAGTCCCCAAGTAAAAGGCCCTGGGCGTCCTTGCCCGTGAGGGCGTGGTTGGTCAGTTTGGGTTCGATCTTGAACAGAATAGCTTTACGCCTTTCAATGGACAGGGAAGTGTTTACGCTGCTCGCAATGCAGATAGCCCTCTGCACCCAGCCATGGAGTTCCTCCGGGTCAGAAAATGGCCGCCGGCAATCTCGCGAGATTCGCGGCCAAAAATACAGTCAATTCGTCAAGTTAAAGAGCCGAAACGTTCGGCAAAAAAGAGACAAATTCAATTGGACAAATAGACGAAAGGAATGAATAGGAAACAGGTGAATGCACTGACCGACTAAAAAGTAGTCGAACGCGGCAAAACAGACGAATGAAGCTAAGTGCTAGAAAAACAAATGAATGGCCTGTGTTCGTGAAGAATTTGCCGAACTGGTTAGAATTCTTTCAAACAGCCGAACAGAACGGGAAACAGGCGCAAAAGGGCGCCACGGAGAGAGGGAGAAAATGGAGCCAAAGGGTAGTGAGGAAGATATAAGGAGATAAGTGAGCATGGATAATACACAGAATAAAACATAAGGAAGGTCTGGAACCCTGGGCTCAAAGGTAACCAACATAATATATAGTAGTAAACAAGCATGTAAAAATACATGGAAAAAATCCTTAACAACTGGATAAATTAAAGAAAAAAAGGAAACTATCAACAAAAGGAGCAATAGAAACTCCAATAACAATAAATAAATAATATAAATAACCAGAAATCAATAAGAGAATAGTAGTATGTATGAGAGAAAATTTGTCATGTACTTATCTTTGGTCAGCTCAGCAAAGAAAGAGGAAATGTGTGGGGAGGTGTTGACTATTATACTGGGACTTGGTATGGGTGTGGCCTATCACCATGGTTACCATTTTTTTTCTTACTGTTGTGTTCTTTGCTGCTATTGATGGACAGTAAAGAAAGGGTTAAGCAATATGAGCCTCCGTGTTTTTACATAAAATTTATGTGTTTTTAAGTTGTTACATTATGTCCCTGCACTGATCCTATTGCAAACTGTGTTTTCAGTTGCGGGTGTTTAGTCTACTAAAGGAACACCAGTTCCGCTGCGTGGGCCATATTGATCTTCATAAAGAAAGACTAAAGTTTCTCAATAAACTTAAAGATCAAGGCAAATTTGAAAAATCGGGTGAGTTTGTTTGACTACCTCTTTGTTTGTGCATATGTTTAATTTTACTTAATAATTCTTAATCTAATATTAAACACTTTACAAGTCTAGTATTATAGTAAACAGTAACGTCAACTTCAATTTCCCCAGCACTGTATTTAGTTTGACTGTATTTAGTTTAACTGAATTTATCATCCACTGAGTTTATAGAATGAAAAGTTTACCTTAAGTAGCATCTGTGACTAAATTACCTGCAAAAGCAGTTTTAAATTACTTAAACTTTTGATTACCTGTAAATTGCCAAATGCAGTATACTCATGGCTAGCATACTTTGCACTAAATGAAGATGTACTTTTAGATATTAGCAAAAAGATATGCTAGTAAATTATAGTCAGTTGTTTGTGTAGTGAATTGTGAGTAGGATGGTTGAAAGTGAATGGTAAAAGTGAATTGTAAAATACTTGCAAATATAAAGAGATCGCTTGGGTATTGGTACGAGGGGGGAAACCACTTATTGATGATATTTAACAATACCCATTTACATATGAGATTTAGGAGATCCATAGGGAATCATGTGTAAGTAAGTGGGAATGGGGTCATCAGGATACAACCATCAAGGCCAAACACAGCTAGGAGATGTACCTGTTGGCTGGTTCCTAGGGTGCCCTCTTCCCATATGTTGGCTCAAAACCAGCTGTAGGACATAGTGCAACCCGTAACTGGATGGGTTAAGAGATAGTGGGTAAATAAAGGAAACTTACGCCACAAACAGGCTACAGGGGTAGCCTATTATGTCCACCCAGTACATCTAAGGCCAGAACCAAGCACAGCCGGACTCCATACGGAGCGTGACATGATTCTTTCTTGACCATGCAGACAATGCCAGTCCCAAGGCTAGGGTATAGTTTAATGATGATGTTGTCTGAAGCTTTAAGTGGGTAACCTGTGCCAAAACTCCAACTACAGTCACCCCACCCTAGATGCACATACCTTGAAATAGGACTCCAGGGTACCAGCGTCTGACTTTAATATAAGTCTAACAGGTTGCAGTAAGTACTTAACTACAATGAGTTACATAAACCATATACACAGGGGAAAAAGTAATTACCAAATTAAATAATAATTTCATGAATTGTACAAAGATAAAAATAGCGGCAAAAAGTAGAATAATAAAAAGAAGAATTCCCTATAGTACCTTCTTTGCTATTCCTTCCAAATAGCCTACTAATCTAAATGTCCAATCAAATTATCAAAATTATTCAAGCAAATGGGAGGTAAAGCAATATCGAGGTTGCATATTAAATGTTGTCTGTCTACACTCAGGGGAGGTAAAAATAGAATTCAATTCTATATGCAGGTAAGTTCGAAACTTGTGGAATCTATCCTTAACACACTCAACATACATCAAAAACACACATTTTACATCTGTCCCTGAGTCAGCTAACACTTCCTCTCTCTCCGGCTAACTCTACAAAAATAAAAAATAATAAGAAAATAGTTCAGCATAGTTTTGAAAAAGGAATAATAAAGTCTTTCAATGAGTATAAGGAAATCAGTTTGGACACCATAAATTGTTCCATAAAAATGGCTAATAGTAGCAAGATGACAATGTCAGCTTCCACATAGTTCCTAGTACTTCCTTTAGTTGCTGGATTTTCACCACAATGCTCTGTGCAACATGCCAGTTGTTGAAAGGGTTATTACAGAACTTGTGGCATTAGACAGCAAGCAAGTGACCAGCAGACTAATTCTGTACATAATCTTAACATATACTTATGGGGATAATGCCCAATAAAACTTGGTTCCTAAATTTAAACCTTGATTTAATAATCCCAATTAATTGAATACTCTTGGATTAATTTCTAAAATTATAACTTTTCAAAACACTCATATATCAAATGTTAAAAACATAAAACCATCAAAACCTAAAAATGTGCACTATTAAACCTCATAGAAATTCTTCAACAATTGATTCTCTTATATATCCTAACTTCAGGCCTTTGTTCCAAATAATGAGTAGTACTAGGGCGAGATTACTTAAACAACACACTCCCTCCTTGTTTTTATATATTTATTTCTATCCTCTTCTGGGTCAGTTTGCTGAAATATCTTCTAATAGGTTCAACCCTTTCAAAGCATGAGAATTTTGTATTATAATCAGACCTATTGACCATCTGGTCTTTCAAGCTATGTAATAAGAAATACAGAAGTAGAAAGCAGGACATGAGACTGACACACTGTAACATAAAATATATAGCTCTGTATGCCTAGGAGAATATTCACTAAGCATTGCATTGGCAAAACAATTTGTTTTCCAACAGTTTAGATACAGTCAGGTTGTAATATCCGAATTTAAAAAAAATGCCAGGGGCATTCGGATAATAAAAAATTGTATAATCGAAGTGTTTGGTAAAACGAAGACTGCTGTTATTGTATTTGGCTGTGTTTGGTAAAATGAAGCTTAACTGTCTGTTTAGTTTAATCTTGTACCAAACCCTTGTGCTGGAAATTACTCACACAACACAGTCTGAGTGACTGCAACAATGGATTTTTCCAAGACCGTTTAATTTTAATTATTGCTAGCTTAGTTAACCATTTTTCATTCCTCTTCAATGCTAGTTGTTGTTTCATTTTTAACTCTGCTGCTAGAAGAGAATATATTAAAATTGATGAATATGGGTTCCCATACTATCTTGGCAGTGATGGAATTGAAAAACTGCAGTGTCATTTAATGCACAAAAATTTAAAGGACACTGTAGACACCCAAACTACTTCAGCTCACTGAAGAGGTCTGGGTGCATAGTCCCATGTCCCTTAACCCTGCAAAGGTAATTATTGCAATTTTTAATAAACTGCAATAATTTCCTTTGATGGTCAACTTGGCCTCTAGTGGCTGTCTACCAGTATTAAAAAGTTTACCACGCATTGACTTGGAATTGGATGTAGTTTATTAGAGACTTTAGTTTTATTTGGAATTATAAAGTCGAAATTCTCAAGTTATCAGTGTTCACATCTACTTTCTACTTCTTATTTGTATCAAGTTTTTTTATGATGTGGTAAGAAAATCACACTTTATATTTTTAATTACGTCTGTTTTATAGGAAATGGCAAAATCATAGTTTATTTTTGGTCTCAGCAACTTCCTCTGTATATTATGCTCTAAAAGAGTCTAAAAGTGAAAAACAAATAGCAAGTGCTTACTACTATTTTATTACATTTTGAATGTTTTTCAATGTATCTATAGATGACATTACATATGAATCCTGTACGCTTGTTGGTGGTAAGTCAGATGATTCAATAGATTCAGGACTTCCAATACTTCATATTCAACAATGTGAACCTTCATCACTAAACGATGAAATGTAAGTTATTTCAAACAATGTGTTTCTCATTTACATGTTACAATTAATTCTTGCATTTAATTATTAAGTCTGAATCTATCACTATGGTATCTTTAATGGTTTGCAAATTTTTTTTTTTTTTTCAATGTAATTTTTTTTTTCATTTCTCCGGGCCAAGTAACTAAAATCCAATGCATACAGCCGTAATCACAAGTGCCTTCTGTGGAATGAATTATTTATTCTCTGTCATCTGATACATTGGACCCTTTACTATATAATGCCCTACATTTGACTCATTATCTTTTTTTCATGTAATAAACATCTTTTTGTTTCTTTAGTGTTTCTATAGTGTTAGGACTAAAAACATGTATTTCTAATGCTATTTTGTCCTGTTGATGTTTAGGTGTCCCACCCTGGAGTGGTTGCAAAAGGTAGAATTATTTACCTTTTCTCCCTCGCCACTCTGTTCCCTTTGTTACTGCCCTGCCTTCTTGACTGAGATCATCAATCTGGATGATCTCAGCCAATCCAATTCTTCATAACAAAGCATTGGGAGGCTAGTGCGACTGTGGCAAATAATGTGCTGCACCAATGAAATGCTGCTGTAGGAGCGACAATTGATTCAGAACTGACTTGGTTCTCTATGCGGAAGCAACTTCATTGCAATGTTTTACAGCCATACACACAGACAGACATACACATACACATACACACACACACACACACACACACACACACACACATAGACAGCCATACACATACACAGACAGCCATACACACAGACTGGGTTGGTTTCTTACTTGGGGTCTAAAGGGGGCTGCTAGCTGACACACGCAAGCTCACTTACACAAAAGCTCACTGACACACACATAATCCCTACAGAAAAGCTCACTGACACACACACATGCTCACTGACACACATGCTAACTATACACAAACTCACCAACACACACAAACTCACTACAGACAAGCTCATTGACACACATACACATGCCTACTACAGACAAGCTCACTGACACATACATGCTCACTACAGACAAGCTCACTGACACATACATGCTCACTACAGACAAACTCACTGACATATACACAAGCTCACAACAGACAAGCTTACTGACACACATACACAGGCTCATTACAGGCAAGCTCACTGACAAAAACATGCTCACTACAAACTCACTGACACACAAGTTCACTACAGACAAGCTCATTGTCACACACACACATGCTCACTGACACATACATGCTCACTACAGACAAACTCACTGACATACACTCAAGCTCACAACAGACAAGCTCACTGACACACATACACAGGCTCGCTACAGACAAGCTTAATGACAAACACATGCTCACTACAAACTCACTGACACACACACACACACACAGGTTCACTACAGACAAGCTCACTGACACACGCAAGCTCACTTACACATAAACTCACTGACACACACACACACACACGCTCATTGACACACATACACATGCTCACTACATACAACCTCGCTGACACACACATGCTCCCTGACATACACACATGCTCACTACAGACCAGCTCACTGATACACACATGGTCACTACAAACTCACACACACACCACAAGCTCACTGTGGCAAAAGTAACCTCGCCACTGGTTCTTGGAGGGGCCTGTTTGCCAGCCTCCTGCCTCAGGACTATGGGCCATGCAAAAAGGCTCATAAAAGACCTTTTTTTTGTGCCTTTTTGCTATTCTGTTCAATAGAGTGCATTCCCTTCCTATTCTAACATTAACTAACAAACAACTGCACAAACCAGGGAACACCCGGGAGCTTGTTTACACCTATTAACAACTTGGAACGGTTCTCACCGCAGTATTCTAATCGTTAGTCTTGGTTGCCATAATTCCTATGGACAACCACGAGGTGGCGGCCATCTTGTTCGCATGAACGCAGGCAGCGGTGTTTGAGCATGAATCTCATGGAACTAAAATCGGACACAGAAACTCCCAAACACTGCTGGACTTTCATCATCGCCTGCGTTCGGTTCTATACACTTTAGAAGGGCACTGTTTGGTGAAATCGTTCGTCTGGATGAGGGGCACAAGCTCCAGGGTAAGAACATTGACTATGTTCAGCAGTTAAAGAAATTGCAACCAAAGTGAACGATCGAAAAAATCAATCACTGAGGGTGTATTGGTTGTAGGGTATTTAGGGCATAACCCAGAATTGCATATAGAAAAAGAGAGAAGACTGAGAAAGGTGGACTAAGAGAAGTACTCCTAAAACAGTCTCTATACCCTTAAGTCAGAGATGCTCCATTAGAATAAGGCAACAAATTGCTGGTACTAGAGCAAAAAAATGAACTAAAACAATTATATTTTAATAAACCCTCTTGAGGGGACAATATGTGTATATAACAAATGTGAAAGAGGTATGAAACGGATAGAAAATAAAAACAAACTAAAATAGGTATATCTGCTCCTTCCTAAGTTTGAACGATAAACGTTCCTACTGCTGGGCAGCCGCTAGAAATAAACTGTATATAAACAGTTATTGTAACAAGTATCTGTGGATCAGTCCACCCAGAGTGTAAACTATAAACGAGAGGAGAGGAGTAACAGTGTATCTAGCTTACTAGCTAAATGAGCATATAGTTGCACGTAGAAAGATAACAAAGTAATTGAGGGTGACCTCAGCAAGGATATACACTGTGGGTAGATGGGGAATTCCAGAAATAGATCCTGTCTGGGGCTAAAGAGGAGAGATTAAGGGGTAATAGCTATGTAAGAGAAGTAATAATAGTCCCCAATAGATCTGCTACTGAAAGCCCCAAGGATTAATACGACTGAGAATGCCTTACAGTAAAAAAAGAGAGACTGGTAACGTCAATATGGTTAGTCCGGCCGGACAAAAAAATTGAAAAAGACGAATAGTATCTCTCTAAAAATATATATATTGCCAGGAAAGTAAATAAGTAAATTGGATACCATAAAAATAGACCCAAACTTAAAACTTCAGTATTGTGTCCTAAGTAAATGAAAAAAAAATGGTTACTAGGTAGAACCTTAAACTAACAATATATATAGCTAGCACCCTTAGCTGCCTGCCTATGCTAGAAGTTCTAAATAGAGTATTGAGCGTTGGCTATATATGAGGCTGCATCTAGTCGTTAGAAGGAAAAAACAAACAAAAGGATCCTCCCCTCCCCTTACTCGAAATGGACGAAAATTGAAAGAGAGGAGGAACAGATTCCTAAGTACAGTACATAGTATAATAAGTTGCGCTCAACGCGCGTTTCGGCGCCCACATGTGCCTTTATCAAGAGCTAAGCCGTTTTGTTTTTCAGCGCTGCTTTTTAAACCCCCTAAGTGCAGGCCCATTCCATGTGACGTCATAATGATGTTCAGACGGTACATAGTGGTGGGCGGGGTTTGGGGAGTGGCAAAAAAACGAATAAACGGAGTAAGGGGAATAACCCCTTCAGTGCCAGTAAAAAGGTATAGTAAACATATGTCCCTAGATAGGGGACAATAGGTGTTATATAGTTCATATACATACACAAAAAACCTCCTGATCATGCAAAGAGCAAGTATAAATGTGGGAATTGTATAGTAAATATAAAAGATGTGGGCTGAAGATACATATGTGTTTTTAGAACATGAAAATAGAATAAAATGAGCAGAGATATTGTGCCCAGTAAATCCAGAAGAACTGTATATATATCAGTGTATCCTGGTACATAGATTCCATTAATTATATCAGGGAATCTGTCAATTAGTGATGTGTAAAATATGAATTATAAAATTACAAAATTACCATTCTACATAAGGTAGACAGTATCCCTAATAAATTGGAGGAAAAAATAGACCAGACATCTAAAATATCACTTAGTTTGAAATATAGATTCAAGGTAACTGCCGAATCCATAGATGGAAGAAATTACAGGTTACATAATTAAATTAGATTAAATGAAGGGTGCAAAAGAAAAACCCTCATTTAGCCCATTGGGTTGTAGTGTGTTAAGCCTGTAGATCCAGAAACTCTCGCGTTGCATTAAATGTCTGTCATAGTCCCTCCTTCTTTTGTCGCGTTTCACTAGTTCTAAACCACAAAACCGTAAACCGTGTGGTTTACCTGAGTGGTGTTCCTTCCGGTGGCGAGCAATCGAGGTTTCAATGTTGAGTTTAGGTGACCGGACATGTTCTTTTATCCTTTATTTAAAGGGGCGAAAAGTTTTCCCCACATATTTACAATCACATTCACAGGTTAGTAGATACACTAGACCTGAGGTGTTGCAATTGAAGAAAGAGGTGATGTTAAAAAAGTGTTTATTTCCACTGTCCGATGCCATTTTGGAATCACGTTTAATATACTTACAGGCCACGCAGCGCCCACATTGAAACAAACCAAAGATAGGTGTACCACCGCTATGTACCGTCTGAACGTCATTATGACGTCACATGAAATGGGCCGGCACTTAGGGGGTTTAAAAAGCAGCGCTGAAAAACAAAACGGCTTAGCTCTTGATAAAGGCGCACGTGGGCGCCGAAACGCGCGTTGAGCGCAACTTATTACACTATGTACTTAGGAATCTGTTCCTCCTCTCTTTCAATTTTTGTCCATTTCGAGGGGAGGGGGGGATCCTTTTGTTTGTTTGTTTCCTTCTAACGACTAGATGCAGCCTCATATATAGCCAACGCTCAATACTCTATTTAGAACTTCTAGCATAGGCAGGCAGCTAAGGGTGCAAGCTATATATATTGTTAGTTTAAGGTTCTACCTAGTAACCAATTTTTTTCATTTACTTAGGACACAATACTGAAGTTTTAAGTTTGGGTCTATTTTTATTGTATCCAATTTACTTATTTACTTTCCTGGCAATATATATATTTTTAGAGAGATACTATTCGTCTTTTTTTTTTATTTTTTTGTCCGGCCGGACTAATCGTATTGACGTTACCAGTCTCTCTTTTTTTACTGTAAGGCATTCTCAGTCGTATTGATCCTTGGGGCTTTCAGTAGCAGATCTATTGGGGACTATTATTAC